CGACATAAATGCCTTCGTCCATTGGCTGATGGATGGCGGACAGATAGAAGCTGATTCACGTTGCACAGCACATCCGCGGGAGGTTGTAAGTTGACTAATCCTAGCGGGTAAGGCGACTTTGGCTGAAGCAAGCCAAAAAATTCGGAATTCGACGCCTTAGTGACTTAATAAAGTCATCCTTACTGTCTGTGGGTCTAAAGTGACTGGAAAAATAGGCGTCCTTTGTTCCCACTTCAAAATTTGCTGCGGAAATTTGCAACAGAAATGGCAGGAAGGAGGAGTAGACCGACCGATCTCCACAACTACGAAACAGAAGGCCACACTTTATCATACTGACTCAGTTTCCAAACACCTGGATCGGAAGGCATGACGCTGTTAACATTAAACAGCGAAGTCAGTTTGCCATGGCAACTTTTACCCGAGAATGCATGCAGATCCTTCCACTACCTTGAGGTTTTGTGGAAAAGAAAGATGGACAGGACGAAGTACGCTTCATACCAGACCTCTGAGGCTAGTTACCCCGCATATTTATTGGCGAACGCCTTACCTCAGCAATTAAATTGAAAGGATATGATTTACGCCCGGGGCACTTACTTCAGGCAGCAATTGTATCTCGGTTTAGGCGATCATATTGCTTTTACCTGCGTGTGCTCTCTCCTATCGAACCAACAACCAAAAATGAAGGGGCGCAGAAATATTTGGAAGGGTGACTTTAACGCAGTGAGACGTACTTTTTTAAGGGAAACCTGGTTAGTCAACATGGAAGATTCAAAAGACTTCTGGCAGTACTTTCGCAGGATTATAGAACGTCTACTTGACTCCCATTGTCCAATAAAAATAACTACCATGTGCGCGACCGCCATGGGTCAATCCGACGACAAAAAGACCATGAAGTAGAAACAGAGACTGCGGAAAAAGTATTTGCAACTTCGAGATCCAAGGTCATTCGCCGAATATAAGGATCAGCGCAATAAATGCCGCCAGCAAATACGGGTTGCTAGAACTTCCTTCGAGTGTCGACTGATTGCAGAATCCAGTACATGTCCGAAGAAGTTTTACGGGTACATCCGCAGTAGAAGGAAACATAGGGACGAAAATGCGTGTCTAAAGGATAGCCTCGGAAACTTGTTAGTTGAAGGGCCACAGAAAGTGCAATTACTGTCTCGGTTTTTTCAATCGGTTTTTACGGAAGAGTCCTCGGAAGACAATCAGCAGTTTGAAATGGACCGAGACAGCCGGGAGCTTCAAATGCGCTAAGATACTGCCGTCATTGAAACCGTCGCCTTTTCCGTCGAAGAAGTAAGACGCCTCCTCAGTCAAATAAAACCTGGTAAGTCTCCCGAACCCGACGGAATTCCCGGACTAATACTTAAAGAGCTATCAACGGAACTGTCAAAGCCTCTTTCGACTCTCTTTAAGCTGTCAATGAGAACAGGACGGCTTTCATCACAGTGGAAGACATCCAACCTCGTTCCCTTACACAAGGGACGTAGCAGGATGGCAGCAAGCAGCTTCAGGCCTATTAGCTTAACTTGCATCCCATGCGAAACGATGGAAGCTCTAGTAAGGAGCTCTATACAGCAGTTTTGTGCGGAAAATAACATCTTGCAGGATTTTTAACATGGCTTCCGGAGAGGACGCTCCTGCCTCTCAAATCTGCTAGCTTGTCTGGAGATCTGGACCAGGGCTCTAGAAGAGGGTTTTGAGGTCGATGTCGTGTATATCGATTTCCGCAAAGTTTTCGATACTGTTCCGCACCAACGCCTTCTTCACAAATTGAGCGCCATCGGCATCCGGGGAGATCTTCTGAACTGGATAAGGGCTTTTCTGGCTGATCGGAAACAACGTGTCTGTATCGAAGATTATATGTCAGAATGGGTGAACGTGACCAGTGGCGTGCCTCAAGGCTCAGTTCTGGGACCATTGCTCTTCATCCTTTATGTTAATGACAGCCTTCAGGAACTCGGCTGCGGCAAAAGAATGTTTGCAGACGACGTTAAGCTCTGGAAAGTCATCAAGGGTCAAAATGATCAGAGATCCCTTCAAGATAATCTGCACTGACTGCAAGCGTGGTCGAAGAAATGGCTTCTAGATTTCAATGTGCAGAAGTGTGCCGTCCTTCATCTGCGTCCAACCAATTCTCATTCAAATAAGAGCCTGACGACATACAACCTGAAAGATATAAGGCTCCCCGCAGGATCTTCACAGAAGGATCTCGGGGTTTGGATACAGAACAACCTGAAACCAACACTGCAGTGCCACAAGGCCGCAAAAAACGCCATGGGAGTGCTCCATGCAATCAAAAGGGCGTTCGTAACCTTTGACCACGACCTTTTTGGGAGAGTTTACGGCGCCTCTGTTCGGCCCCATTTAGAATATGGCCTACAAGCATGGCGGCCATGGCTAGTAAAGGACCAAGCATGCCGCGAAGGGGTACAACGGCGTGCAAAAAAGCTGGTAAACGGTCTAAAAAGCCAATCATACACAGACAGACTGAATTGCCTTAATTTATTCCCTCTGTGTTACAGGCAGCAAAGAGGTGATCTTATCCTCGTCTATAAGATAATGCATGGCCTTGAGCATGGACTTAACTTTGAGGAAATGTTTCAGTGGCACCTTTCATCCAATCTTCGTGGTCACTCGATGAAGTTACGGACAACAATGTCCAGGCTGGATCTTCGTTCTGAATTTTTTCACGCAGAGGATAGTGGAGAAATGGAACGATCTCCCTCAGTCAGTCGTGGAGGCTACGTATCTGCAACTCTTCAAGAAACGCTTGGATGATTATTTTTGTCCCCTGTTTTCCCTCGAAAGTCTGAATCTGAACTAATACCCCCACGACTCCGCAAATAATTTCCCTTAGACAATGCTACTCAAATGAATCAAGTACTATTTAATAGCGAATATTTCATTGTTCGTGTACAGCTATTTCTAACGAGCTGACCTGTAATCAATAGGGTTTTCAAAAGCTTTGCCTATTATCCTTACCAAATAAGGTGAAATTGTGTTAAAAGTAAATGACTAGCAACATTTATTTGTAGGTGCCAGACCTTTCGGTGGCTGTTGCGTTAGGTTGGTTAAGAAGCTTCAGGGTATTAATCGGAGTAAAAGTACGACAATGCAATGCCTTTTTGACAATGCCTCCGAATGGGCACTAAACGTGTTTATTATTATAATTAAATGATAAGGATAGTGTCCTCTTTTGATTGGTGACGGTATGCAGGATCAGAATTTGTGATTCCACAGATTTCGGCTTTCTTCCTCGACACAGTTGTCCTCCCCCTAGAGTAAATGACCCCGGGTGTATACCATACCCTTCCAACTAAATTCTATTAATCTGAACCGCATGAGCATTCCTTCATCCCATTCCAAAGTATTATCATGTGAGGATTCGCGATGAATGCCGAAAAACCCAATGGTAACAGGTAAGGGATGACTGTAAAGAGACACATTTTGGAGAAGAATGGAATTGTGTTTTAATTGCTTCGTACAATCCCAGGAGGGAATGGTCACTAAATACAACCGTCACTAACAGCTCAACTTGTGTTAACTCTGTCTTCTCATCGAACAAAGTTTAAATAACTGCTTTTAAGGAAGATGTCGCCTGCTAAGTACAATCAAATGCTTAACACTAGTTGGCAGAAAATACATAGGCAAAATAGACAACTGCGCTTACCTATGTAGGGTGCATGTGTTATCTCACGAAATGCTAACCACAATTCTGAAATGTGTCTTCGACTAGGAAAAGTTACTTAAGTAGACTCGTCAGGCTAATTATCGCGCAGCATAGTCATTAGATATTTCAACCGTGCCACGATACCAGCTTTGCGGCCGGTCACAAGAACTACATCCTGTGAAAAATGACTGCTTAAGTGGTATGCGTATTTCCTACTGATTTTTGATGCCCATATAAATTCAAATACATTTTACAGAAAATACACGTAAAATATTCCTTCTTTTACTCGTCCAAAGGATGGCACCATGGCATGATTAAAATATCTTATGATTATGCTTACAACCCTGTTCTTAGCCTTTTCTAATCGAAGACGCATTTCAGAATTTCGGCTAACATTTCGTGAGACAGCACACCTACTGTATATTACTGTTCATGATCACGGCTACGTGATAAGCGTCGATTCGGATACTTCCTCGAAGTTAGGAGTTTTTGTTTAAATACTGGCCGACCAGTCACACGGCAGAAGGCATTAATCAGACCGCGACCTTGAAACTTCAACGAACTTCCTGTTTTAGTGTGCGTAGCCACACTTTCCTCTAAAACGGACACCTTCCAACCTCCCCTAGGAGAGGATTGAATAGGGCAATTGATGTAATGGTGGCAAACGCAATTATGCGATTGAAGCTGGCCAGAATCAGCACAGCTGAAGCGAACAAGTGGCAGAAAATGCCCTACGTTGGTGCCAAAAATCTCATCCGATTTTTCGCCGGCAGGAAATTTAAAAAACCTGAAGGAAATCAAAGCTGCCAGTGGTCTCGGCAAAATTATTTCGGACCCGCTATCTTTAACAAATGCACGCCATGGTGGGGCTGCACATCCTTTCTGGGTTGCAGACGAAAGCAAAGTAGGTCAGCGTGTCCGGAAAAGAGTTACCGGCACCTTAACCGAATCCCTCCGGGCGTCAAAATGCGGACTGACCAAACCCGGTAAGCATGTCGAATGTCTCTGCTGGTCCGAGTAAATTTCAGCCTGGCAAGGTGCATTTGTGATGACTTTTGCTGCTAATCAGACGTTAGATGAGTGTAAGAATGCGAGGCCCCGAATTCAGCCTATCAGCCAAGGCGACGCGACGAGGAGGTGGGTTAGTTTGTGCAGTAGAAACAGCAGAACCATCCAGCGGTCTGTCAGATCGCATCTGTGTCAGACTGAGTGAACTGTGTGTGTGTTGGTTAAAATCCTGACCGCTGAGTCAGACACCACGGTCTCTTCGTCAGCACAACTCCTGGAGAAACTCAAAGGGGTAAGCCTCCATCCAAATGAGGCCATGATATCTCTTGATGTTACACCCCTTTCTACTTCTATTCCCCAGGACCTGGCGATCGAGACAATCGAGCTGCTTCTACAAAGCAAATACGATGAACCTGAGAATCGTCTTGGACACGACCAAGTCCTTCAGCTCCTGAAGTTCTGTGTCAGGACGTACTTCACATTCGACGGGACAATCTACGAACAGGTGAAGGGCACACCCATGGGTTCGCCAATTTCAGGATTCATCGCCGAGACGGTCCTGCAACGGTTAGAGTCGCTGGTCTTCCAACACCACGAGCCGAAAGTCTGGGCCCGGTATATGGGTGATGCCTTCGTCGTTATCGACCGGGATCAACCGCTGACATTCAAGGAACATGTGAATGCGGTCTTCCCGGACATACAATTTACGATGGAGTAGGAAGAGAACAACCAGCTGACCTTCTTGGATGTCGTCGTATGCCGCAAAGATTGTGGAGGACTAAAAACCAAAGTGTTCAGGATAGCGACAAAAACGATGCAAGTACTAAACTTCGACAGCAACCACTCAGTCAGCCACAAACTCAGTTGTGTGAGGACGCTCTATCGGCGTGTTGAAACGCACTGCAGTGAGCTGGAAGACAAGATTGCCGAACTCCAATACCTCCGGCGGTCTTCAAAGACAATGGCTACCAGCACAACTTCGTCAACGCGTTTCGTGTGTTTTGGCGTCCCCTATGTCTGCCAGTCTCGCTGTCCTCGTTATACACTAAGAGAGCTTTGATGGGAAGAGGGAAGGGCGCTTTTTCAGCACAGAAATAACAGCCGATTCGCTCTTTTTACTGCAACATTTTTATCCTGCCTGACACATCTCAGCACGTAGCACACCTGCGTTGTTCCAACGCTTCAAAGACGTTCTCTAGACCACAGTATATCGACCAAGATATCGCATTTAGATTAATCTTCGCGATTAAGGAAAAGTCTCGGTCAGATGTGGAGATGAACGACAACACTGGGGGGGGGGTTATGTTGTACAGAGTGGAAACTGCGCGGTCCAAGCAAACAGTATGCCTTGAGTGATGTCAGGGCGTTTGGCAAGTGAAAGAAGCAAGTTTGTATGAGTAGAGTGAGTGACCGATCTCATGAAATGTTGGCTGAAATTCTAAAATGCGTTTTCGATAAAGAAGGTTTCCTTGGTCGTGGTTGTAATATTGATTGTCCTACGGCATAACTTCATAAAATTTCGAACTCGGCAGGATGTCAGCTTTTGAATACAGTGCTCTTCAGTCTCGGGTAGAAACAGTACTCGATAACAAATGACTACGTAGGTAGCATGTCTTTTTCCCATTGATTTTCGATAGTTTTGCAAATTCAAATATATATTAAAGAAATCATAAACCAAAATATTCTTTCTTTCAGTCAATTAATAGGGAATCACGTTTTCTTGATATTTTATACTCAAAGAAGAAGTATAATTAGGTTTTAAAAAGTTTTCTAATTCCCGAATAATTTGGAACCTAATCAGTCGTTGCATCAGCTCTTAATGATTTCAATCTACAAGGAGCATGTGTTCCACGTAAAGAAAATCACATATTTTTCGCTGCCATTTAAAAATATGATATATAGGCCATTAAATTTTGTAATGGGTACCGTCTATGTTGCACCTTTCATGAGGAGCCGTGGTAAACGTCCAGGTAAGATGCTATGTGAATGGACATTGCGCGGTCTTAAAAAATCTCATAATTAAACAATTTTTTAAAACCTTCTTATACTCCTTCTTTGAGTATAAGATATAAAGAAGACGTGATTCTCTATTAATTGGCTGAAAGAAAGAATATTTTGGTTTATGATTTCTTTAAGATATATTTGAATTCGCAAAACTATCAAAAATCAATGGAAAAGAGTAGTCATTTGTTACCGAGTACTGTTTCTACCCGAGACTGAAATTCAAAATCTGACATCCTGCCGAGTTCAAAATGTTATAAGGTTATGTCGTCAGATAATCAGTATTACAACCGCGAACAAGTTATCCTTCCTAGTCGAAAATGCATTTCCGAATTTCAGCCAACATTTCAGGAGATCGGTCACTCACTGTATATGTCAATATCAACCGCACAGAACGACACCGTCCATGCATGAAGAAGGAGGCACGATCGCAGCGTTCGTGTCCCCTTCTTCATGACTGCTTCCTGAGACTCGTCTGTTCGCTTCCATTGGCACCGTCCATGTATGCTGGAAATCTAAAGGCAAAATGAATGTACTGTAGATATCTAGAAAGACGCGGGGACTAGCAAACTTGGTAAAACCTATGTAGATCCTTTTTCTAGTTTAATATCTCAGACAGACATGCTCTGCTCCAAAATGAACAGAAAGCACCCATCTTTGTGCACTCCGTTTAAGAAACATGCTTGACGTCCGGCAAGAACTGAGCGTTTTTTACACTAACGTGGTTAAAGGCAGTCTGCGGACTGCCTTGGGATTGGGTACGCTCCACCAGTATTAAAACCGCAAGGAAGCAATGCCTTCATTACGAGAACATACCAAAAATTTACTTAACTTTTCTTACGTTTCGTTCGATCTTTTCTAAATAGAAAAAGGGTTAGCTTCTGGAAATCCCTTTGGAAATTTCTTTTCGCATTCTTTGAAAGTGATTTTTAAGCATGTATAGGAAAGGATATGCTGAACGCGAAAATAGACTATCTGTCGGTATTGCACTAAGTATTGGTAGGAGTACTGCTGAGAATGCGCAAAAATCTAAAATTTCGGTTTTTCCCTTAATACTTAGAAACTGCGTAGTAGCCGATTAATCCAGATATGGGATTTCCGTCGGCACAAAGAATCTCCTACTCCCGTTTTTTAGCTCTGGTGTTTCTCTGCTAATGTTTGCTATAATTGGAATTGGATCATTTTTACAGGAAGCTGGTACGTAGTAACTCATTTTCATACTCGAGAATGACAAATAAGGGTCTCTTTTTGTCCCGAAATTTCATGATTAAAAGACCTGGGATCAGATTACGCGAATAAGCATAGGTTGAGTGAAATTCTGAAATTATCGTTTATTTTCAGCTAGAATCTTATTCAAAGGTCGCAACAACCGTCACATGGTGTTTGAATGAAGTGAGTCAACAAGAATAGAAAAATTTACAACCCTCCAGCTTTTGCCTTTCTTTCGAGACTCGTCGAAAATTCGACCAAGGACGCGAGATTTTTGTCACGAAGCAAAAAAGGGCTTTTGGCTCATTCCTTAAGAAGCCGATCTAGAAACTAATATTTAATAATTTCTGACGACAGTATGAAAGGATCCAAATGCTAATCTGGCACTACGCGTAAAATACATAATCTGTTATAGAAAGAACGGCCGAATACAAGAAACAAAGTTTCCCTCAAAGGGTCGAATAGCCATTAGGATTTATGGAGTGACCTGTTTAACCAAACAAGAACATTATCGTACGCGCTAATCTTTGCATTTCAAAAGGGCATGTAAATCAGCCTACAATGGTACGGCGTTTTTATGCAAATTGGAAAGCACAAGGGATGGGACTTTTATCAAAGAAAATATGTTGAACACATTTCCTGCAGGAAGTTACGAGTACGTTTTACATAGCGGAGCGGACTCTGTTAGTTTGTATTAGTGTGCTGAAAGTTATCAACTGCCTGTTGGCAATGTTACGTCTATGATATCAAGGAATAAATGAAAATCCGAAATTGGTGAATAGTTTAATAAGTAGTAATATTTAGAAAACAACCACAAGATCTACAGTACAACAATTGCATACACCAGTTGGTGCACTCCAAGCAATGTAGATCGGACATTCTATGCCAAACTTCCGCTTTTATATATTTATGGATTACATTTCAAGTGCGGAGATCTATTTATCACCGGTTTATTTTGACGAGTAATCACTGCATGCACAGTGGTGAACTGGAAACCCCCCAGCGTTGGTAAATAATCCGGAAAAATAAAGAAGGCTTAATATCAGGATTTGCTGATTCACAATGATGTTCATTTAGACCTCAACAGCCGGGCACTGTTCGAGACAAATGGTGGGCTAATGGGGTCATAGTGGTCAGAAATCTCACTGTGAATGTAGCCGTAATTGGGTTGGGACGCGGGAGGAGATATTTTTGCTATAAAACAAGAAGAGGGCATCTTAATCGAGACCTTTCTACAAATGCACCGATGGCAAAAACCAGAGCAATGATGCAGTTAATTCTGATATGCCTTGGAAAACGTTTTTTCATCAATAAGAATCAAAATCTAGCTAACGACATATTCCACCAAGGTGAAAGTGCGGGATTCTCATGATAAAATACAAAGGTCTAACTTTCTACCGGGGCTTTAAGTTTACAGTAAAGATATTATGAGTAAGTTCACCTCTTCACCTCATAAAAGGGCAGGAGGTGATAATATGGTCATTTATATTGACCCAAATGTGAAAACCTCGGCGCCTCGGTGGAATTAGAACCCACGTAGCAAGGGGAAGCTTTAGTACAGCCAACGCTCTAACCACTTGAATCACAAGGCCCCGCCGGACGACGCGATTTTAACCACATTTGGGTCAAGTTACTCGCCCAATCTACTGCAACGTCTGGAATCCACCAAATCTGATACAGTAAGTTGACTGCCCAAGCAGGGTTTCCTAAGTAATTCACCCAGAATCCACCAGATAATTACCAGGCTCACGTAATTCATAGAGGGGTAATGTGAATTATTCAAAATCTGCCAAAAAATCTATGAATTACGTGAGCTTGGTAATTATCTGGTGGATTCTGGGTGAATTACTTAGGAAACCCTGCTTGGGCAGTCAATATACTGTATCAGATTTGGTGGATTCCAGACGTTGCAGTAGATTGGGCGAGTAACTTGACCCAAATGTGGTTAAAATCGCGTCGTTCGGCGGGGCCTCGTGGCTCAAGTGGTTAGAGCGTTGGCTGTACTAAAGCCTTCCCCTTACTGCGTGGGTTCTAATTCCACCGAGGCGCCGAGGTTTTCACTGTTGCGTCAATATTTAGTATTCCAGATTTGCCAAAACATCTATGAATATAGTCATTCGTAACTTTTTCACGGACGGTTTCAAGGAATCACGCACATGCCAAGTTTCCGTGTAGTCCGCATTCTCTGTCTCAGAGGTTAAAGGAACCGAAGGTCGCTCACTTTCACCACGAAGGCTCCCCTGGCAAAGCCATTACATCCAATCGCGAACGCGCTGACTTTCCGTCATTAAAATGATTTCAGATCGGACACACGCGCATCCAGCTATCTATTTCCAACATGAAAAGGCCACTCCTTCCGTATGCAACACACGCATCAATTAGACACGAATGACTCTGACCCAACTTTGACGTGTACATGAAATCAGTCGATGTCAGTGACACACATCATTCCAGGTATAATCATGGTGAACACACGCCCTGGCCATGCAAACGACTAGGGTCGCAAAATAGGGTAACTTAGAATTCCGCGCACAACGAGCCCTTTAATTCCAAAGTCATTCCTTGTATCCTGGCAACCATGATTCGGCCCAATGCTTATCGTCCTAGAATTGTACCGAGTGCTGAAATCGCTGGAGAATGTCCATCGGTGTACAAGGCGAAAAAGGACCAAGAAAGGTCCTATGACATACACGTACAATGATTCGTCTACGACAGAGCATAAAAGGTGCTAGAACCAATGATTCCTGACCCAATACTATGCTTATTGCGTGCCAGGGTATTCATAGAGTAGTATTAGAAGCTCACTTTTAACATTCGAAACCCGAAGAACATCAATGCCTGCAGTGAGTTCTTGAACGTCGATTATCAATAAAACAAAAAGCAATTTTTGAAGACTTTAAAGCTCTGAAGAAAAAATGAGATTGCTACATCCCCGTTAGGGGTCCTCTAAAGAGGGAACTGGCATTACAGATGATACACGGCAAGAAAGAAACATATATACTTTTTACGAATGGAAGCAAATATGCGAGTCCCAGGTTCTTGTAGCAAAGAGGGCTAGAGGACCTCCATCAATTCTTCTTCTCAATTCTTGACTGACATCCGAGGAAGAACTGCCCGACCTGATCATTACTCACTTTCATTCCGCCGGATCCGGCACGGGACCTTCTACGTCGAAGAAGTGAAGAGACTTCTTAAAATGGACCATTTACTGCACCTCTTTGTTTTCTGCCAACAAACCTTCTCCAAAGGCAGAACGTACGAGCAGATCAAAGGAACGCCGATGGGTTAGTCAATATCCAGCCTGGTTGCGGAACTGGTCTTACAGGAGCTGAAGAAAGTCGCCTTTAACCATTATGCACCTGCATTCTGGCGCCGATACGTAGATGACATGTGCGTTTTAATTGAAAGGAGTAGATTAGCAGACTTTCAAGACCTGCTCAACGGCATCTCCCCGGACATTCAGTTCACAAGGAAAGAAGACATGCCGAACAGTTGCCTTTCCTCGACGTCCTCGTCACACGCAGACCCAATGGAGGACTCAGCACCACGGTTTAGAGAAATGAGACTTACACAACCCGAGTCCTCAATTACCATAGCAACCGCTCAATGACGCATAAACGCGGATGGGTTAGAGCACTCTTCCAAGGGGTAAAAACACAATGCAGTACCGGAGGTACGAGTACGAGAACTATGTCATCTTCAGGACCAACTGGCAATGAATGGATACTCAAACAGCTTCGTCAGCCGCTGCCTCCGCACGCACCCACGGCGAACAAACGGAGGAGAGCCGCCAACACTCTGGCACCCTCTACCATATAGAAAGAACGTGTCCGAAGCGATGGAAGGTATCGCAGGAGAGCTCGGCGTGGGTATTGCTTACCGTCCGACTGCTACCATGCACACCAGAATCATTCAAGTGAATGACAGACTAGACGAAAGATAACAGTATGGTGTCGTTTATTAGACCCCATGCCGTGATTGTCCTCGCCATTACACAGGACAGACCGGACGGCGGCTTAGCTCGCGAATAACGGAGCGCGAATGGGATGTCCAGAGAGGCGACCCACTGTCTCGGGCCAAGTTACCTACTCAGCTTACTGCAACGTCTGGAATCCACCAAATCCGATACGTAGGCTGGCTACCAAGGCAGGATTTTTTAATTAATCAATATAGAATCCATCAGAGGACTATCAGGCTCACGTCATTAGCAGGCGTCTCGACAGATCTTAAATAACTCAGTTTAACTCAGCCTTGGGAAGTGCATAAATTCGAGAAAAAACTGACCCCTGGAGAGGCGGTAGAGGTGGTGTTGGAGCCACCTTAACTTACTCTCTGAAAGGATCAGAGACAATCCGCTCTGACGCCGAAATAGGACCCGTACCTGCAATAGCCAAAAAGAAGCGGCGTCTGTCTATGCAGAAACTATCCAAGCCATAGAAACTGCCCACAAATGTTAGTTTTCCGAAACCGGATCCCTCACAGGTTAGCGAGGCTTAAGGCGGCGAAACTTAACCCAGTCTAGCAGTAGTAACAGTATTAGCAGCAGCAGCAGCAGCAGCAGCAGCAGCAGCAGCAGCAGCAGCAGCAGCAGCAGCAGCAGCAGCAGCAGCAGCAGCAGCAGCAGCAGCAGCAGCAGCAGCAGCAGCAGCAGCAGCAGCAGCAGCAGCAGCAGCAGCAGCAGCAGCAGCAGTTGCAGCAGCGGCAGCGGCAACCTTATCTCTTGTTATATCTGAACTTCCCAATACACTCAATCACGTCACTCCTGACAGACGGATCACGATGACCTTGGGTGTCACGCTTCCCTTCAGTGCGCCTCAGAAGGGAACCGTGCACTAAAAATGTCACATCTACTTTACACAGTAAATGCGTGAGATCAGTAGGTTACAACGTGCGCATGCACTTTCCCGTTAGTGGATGCGTAGAATGTCAAAGTCAGCAGCAGCAGCAATGCCCTCACCGACTGTTGCAAACACTGCCATGGAAAGACTGAAAAAACAGTGGAAGTAAAAAGGCCACAGGCGAGTAGACTTTTAAAAATGTCGAATAGGTAACATTTCCCCATTGTGGAAGAGAAATCCCTCTACAGACCATGGATAAGTGACGCTCACTGGGGGAAGTTTAAACAGACTGCGACTTCTCAGGCCTTTAGGGGAGGTTGCTCCACTTGTGTTAACCGGCAGGGCTAGTGCGTAACAGAACAAAGTGTAGGACACGAATGGGAAACAAACGATTTTGCCCTTACGTATTTGATAAATGATGAACAGAGTCGATGAATTATCATAGGTGGGTTAAGCAATGCCTTTACTCTGTCGGAAGTCGGTTCGGGAGGTGGGTGGGGGCGGGGCATAATTTTGATACGACGGAGAAAACAGCAGTGCGGATATGCAAACAGCACCGCAAAGCCTCTGAGGATGTAACCGGTGCCATGACCTAGAAGTGGATTTGTCCCGGTCGTAACATGACGCCCTCATCACATTTTCTCCTTTCTCTATGAAGTACCGACGTCGCGAAGAGCTCCCTTCTCTTATGCCAGCTCTCCTCCGGAAGCCTATCTGCCAGTTAGAGACGGCGAGGAGGTACGTTAAGTATAACTTGAAATCGTAAACATACTGGTCTTGATTCTGCTTCCGATATACAGGTAACAGGTAATACGCTTGCGTCATAGTTTTCTTTTAGAAACTTTTTAAGAGAACAGGACAATTTTATGTGGTCGAAATAATGATCCGAGTAGCGCATAAATGCCCGTTCAGTCATTGGTTGTTTCGTCTTTTGGCGTTCCTAAAACAACTAGAGGTTTTAAGATACTGTAAGTAAAAACACTGCCTTCTTTCGTCTGAAAAGGTTAGTTAATTTCCCACGTTGTCTGAATCAACAGCTTCCATATTTGCACCTTTTGTCCCCTATTTATTTATAAGCATTACAACAAAGGAATGAACACGATTATATTCAAATTTCTGTTGGGCACCGGAATACGGCCCCCTCCACTCCGTATTACAGGTGAAGTCGTTCTCAGGGATTAAGCGTAGAGTTAGTATTAGTAGCAGGATTAATAAAATGGGATTGGAAGGACTAGGACTAAGCTCGGAGTTAAGGTTCAGGTTTAGATACGGAAAATAGGTACCCCCGGGGATTTGGCGCGAGGCCACTTGTAGGTACAGGGGTTCAGGTCCGTATTTCGGTTTCATACCCACATTTTCGAAAAAGCGCAACTCAGACTTCATGGAATCTTTGTACCTATCGGGCGACTGAACTGCTTTGTAAATGATATCAGCATATCCATCGTTCTCTGACTACGTCCATAGTCCCTAAATGTATCCAACTGGGGATTTTTTGGGGTCGTATCATTGGTTTTGTGAGAGAAGCTTAATCGAAGGTCGTGAATTGCTACTGGCAGACTGAAAAGATGAGAATTTTGCCGATAATGCCTGGAAAAACCAATCATGTATAGATGGCGAGGGCCCTGGCAAATGTAAGCTATATTTAGATAATGTCATTTCCAGCACCACTTGACCTCCTCTCAGCACAAAAGGTGGAATTCCAGGGTTGGTAAGTCAATTTAAACAATAACAGGGGAATTTAGCAATGATTTCCGCTACTGTATGTTACTCAAGGTTGTTAAACCTCATGAAACATTAACTGACAATTTCCAATAAGCTGTGAATTAGAAAAGAGTTCGCGTGCGAGACTGCAAAAATGGCTAATAGGAAACACACCTTGAAGTCAACTCTAACGTCATGACATTCTGGCCTTCAAACTGTGAAAAGCCCACGTAGAAAAAGCCGTTGTCTAATTAATGCATACATTCTCCATAGTTTTTCGACAGCAGAACAAGTAAAACCGGGCTCCGTAAGAAAATGAGCGTAAGGATATACCTACACATTTTCCGGAAACGAGAGGATTTTGAACAAGACTGCAAATTCTTGTGTTCTTATAAACAAATTCTGTCTTTTAATTTATTTTAGGCTTGCAAACTACATACTGTTTACGTTTCCTGAAACAAACCCACATAAACCTGCGAGGTGGCCTCTTTTTGCTGACGGAATACTGCTGTGTGCATAGACCAACTGGCACAGTTTATAAGACAGTTGGAAAATTCGAGGCTAAACAAGTCGTTAAACGAACATCCAAAAAATCGGTCAACTAGAAAATAGATAAAAACCGTGAATCGCCACTCTCTCAAAGTTGAAATAGAAAGCGGACATGGTTTACATAAAATGAACGCACGAAGAAATGTTTGTGTCTTTTTTTGAAAAATACGAGAGCATTTACAAGGGCTTTTACAAGTGAAACTCACGCGGTTTGGCAGGCGAAAAGTATCCAATAAACTTCGTCCAGTTTAGCTTACTGAGAGAAATAGGCGTAAGCCTTTGAGTTCCCTATCTACAACGTTACTTTAGGTTGTAATAGTTTAAAGAGGACCAAAGAAATATGAAGAGCTAAGTGTGAGTCTCAAGGGTTGGATTCGATCTTTTATCGCTCCTGCGCAGAGCCTATTGAGAGGTCGGTGGAACAGTATGTCGCTTGACTGGATACCGGCTGTATGCGTCAGCCAAATGTCACGCTTCCCGCAATAGGGTGTCATTGCGTGGTCAAACTCCAATTTCCGTCTTGAAAAGAACCAATGAGCGGCAACTGAGGCCTGTAGAAATATTTAAGCAGACGGCGAAAACTCAGCTAATCAGTCCGAGGCATGTTGTGCGTGTTCCTTATCAGCTCGATGGGTCCAAAAGTGATTTCCTCATATGGATTACGTTCAAAAAACCAATATTTTTGGACGGGGAAAGCGTTACCCGAAACCAGAATTATTTTCTGTGTTAATAATTCCCCTAGATCACATCTGGTCAATGGTACATGTCTTTCTAGCGGGGGACATTGAGTCAAACGAGGCGTATCACAACCCAAAAATCCATTAAGTTGAAACATGATTTTTTTAGTCCGCGTAAATAGGGGGAAACAATATGCAGAAAAACAAATCATTTTCTGAAATGCAGAAGACGTTTCTCCCTTTTAAAGGGTATTTAGTTAATTTGCGCAATTTCATGCTCCAAAATGCAATCTTCTGTTTGAATACACTTATGAACGTGGCACATGTTTCGTAGTATTCGATCAGTAGCCGTAACAAGATCCGACATCAAATACGGTTTTTAATTTTGGGCATGAGATAAACAACGCTTTATATTGTTTTGGTTCTGCTACTACGTACTTTAAAGAAAAGAAATCAAGACACTTCTCTTTCGGAAGATGTTTTAATATATACATGGATACTCTGTGATGCATTTACCATAGTATAACGGGAACTGAAATAAGGCAAAGCAAAGGGGGTTTTCGGTCTTTGGCGGAGATTTGTGCCAACCTGTTTCAATTTGTGTCCTGACTTTACTTTCAAAAAACAGATGAAAAACTTGGACATTTTGATCAACAGCTTACAACAGCAAGGAACGCTTTCAAAAAGTAAACAATGGACAACAGTTTCTTCTAAGAGCAAAAACATTTTCCCCTTCTCTTCGGTGATTGAACCAAACGTGTGGGGGATCCTAAGAACATGACCCAAACCGCCATCTATGTACACATAATTGCGTCAGGGAGCTCACGCTCCGTGGGGATGTTCAGTCGCCCGGCTTCAGCTTGCGCCTCACTCGACTGGGCCTGGCCATACCTTGAAGTTCGACGAGGTCGAAATTTTCGCACGAGGTGAGAACCGTGTGGGCTGCGAGCTGCTTGAGTCAGGGCTTTCAGGCTTCCAGTCTATCAGCAACCGGAATGACCTCCCCTCGTCCATGTCTGGTGCTGAAACTTTGCCTGGGTAAGCTTATTAGCCAGGCTCGGACGAACACTCTTTCCAGTGCCAACATCGATCAGCCACATTGCCGAGTAATTATCACACCAATTAGCAATGACGGTGATGTAAGGGAGGCGGTTAACGCCTCGCGCATGCGCAATCACTCGCAAACGTCGACAGGGTAAGCAGTGGCATAGCGACTGCGTCCTAAAAATGCCGAATCCTCTGTGCCATAGCCGACGTTGTACATGACAATGTATCGGTGTGTGAATCCAAAACGTCAGGCGAATAAAATTATCGTCCCCGGCATCGCTTCTTCTTCTTCTTCTTCTTCTTCTTCTTCTTCTTCTTCTTTTCGACCGCCTTTTGAAACTCCGTTTTCACTGATATGGACGACTTCTTTCGGTTGTTAATACTGCTCTTGTTGATCTGACTTGCTTATCTAAGATCCTGAAGAAGACACCTCGTCCACAAATTTAATCCTAAATTCCCTGGAATTCAGCGCAAAGCAACCAGCATTACGGGTGGTTCCTATCACCAGGTCCTGGCGGGGACCGTATAAGCAATACCCATGCTCTTGTCCCTGTTGCATTTTGCACGCAGGCTTAAGAGTTCAAGTAAAGCAGTCGTGGCAATATCCATGTCGTAAACTCCTAGTTTTTGTGGACTGATTTGCTAGATCTACGGGTCAGGAGATCAAATTGAGGAACACAATAACCCTATTCACTTCAATCGTGATTGCTACGTGATTTTTTCAGTTATGAACTGAGGTTTCCATTTTCTTGGCAACTGGCTGAAGTTGGTGAAATGGACAACTGATAACACTACACATTGGGACGTTGTCTATGTCATAACATTCAATCTTTGCATTCCTGCCATAAGTTCTGTCCCTACTCCATCGATTTTTAGATGCTTGTGTTTTTCCCCCTCTTCTTAACAGTTACTGTTTCCATGGGATTTTGCTGCGTTATTAAGGAGGCATATTTTCATGTTAAAACGTGTCTTTCACAGGCCCTACTCTGTTGCCGATGCCTTTTGTCTACTTTTAGTCATTATCATAACATGATAACATTATACAAAGAGCAAACAATTTGTCAACCGCATTTTTGATGAGTTAGCATATCCCCTTCATGATGTACTCGTTGATGTTAAGTCATTCCGCCCATTCCCGCGTGGTTTCAGTCATATCTGCTGACTGCATCAACGTATCAGTTGTACCGTCTTGGGCACGGTTTCTGGCATGTAATGGGAGTGAAGTTAAGAAAGTGAGATCAGACTTGTCGCTACAACAGCCCCATCGTTTTAGGTTGACAGTTTATTTGTGCCTGTCATCGGCTTTTTTGGCCATGATGATGAAAAAATGTTTTCGTTTAAAAGTTTTGAACGGATTGCTTCAAGTAAAGGTTAATCTCATTCTCTCGTTTGGGCTTTAGTGAGCCTACGCCTCTTTTCAATGTTCGACTCTGTTTGTTTCAGGGACCCAGTAACATCTCCTGACAACAGTGTTGACTTGCAAAACGCGACAAGGCTCTGTCGCAAAATCCGGATTTGCTAGATATACGGGCATGGAGACGACATAGACGAACACAGTAATCTTATCCACTTCGATTGCGACTGCTGTGCAATTTGTTACTTAATTATAGAATTATGAACCGAGATTCCCCTATTCTTTGCAACTGGCTGAAGTGGGAGAAAATAGAGAGTTGAGGAAACTACAGATTAACGATAATGTCTGTTGCATTGGGAGGTTATCCATTCTAGTACAACCAATTCTTACATTCCTTCCATACCCCATGCCCTTTACCAAAGAGGGATAATCTCATATTAAAAAGTGCCTTTCGAAAGCACCCTGTTACGATGTCTGTTGCTCATTTTTAGCCAATATCTTAATATGATGACATTTTGCGACAATCAAACAATTTAGTAACCCAATTTCCAATGATTCTGCACATCCCTCCATAATGCACTAACTGATGTAAATCCGTTCTACTCAACCCCGCGCGGTTTCAGTCCTATCTTCTGGTTACATCAGCGTATCAGTGATTAGTTGTATCATCTTTGACGCTGTTTCCAGCATGTAATGTGAGTGAAATCAAGAAACTGATATTAGGCTTTTCGCTACAACAGTCATGCTGTTTTAGGTTAGCAGTTTCTTTGTTTACTGGTCATGGTGATGAAAAAACGGTCTCGGTGGAAATTTGTGAGCGGGTGGCTTCTAGAAAATCCTAATTTGCCCCTCGGATTTTGGACTTTAATAAGCCTGTGCGACGTTCGACACCGTATGTTTCGGGGACCCAGTAAGATCTCCTTGCAACAGTGTTTACTCGCAAAACACACCAAAACCTTATCAATGAATTAAGTCTGCGCATTAGAGGGGTATACTGTAAGGGGTTTACACATTGGTCCACCCGCTACCAATGACAAAATTTTGTGTCTTCTGGG